TACCATCTTAAGCCTAGCTCATTATTCATTACTGATCGAGGAAGGTGCTAAATAAACCACCTATGGAGCAAGGGTATACAACATATAAGAGTTCCTTATTTCTTCATATTACGGGTATGGAGAGAATGTAGGATGTCCCCGAGCAATGTAGGCACTGGATTGTGAGTAAGGAAGATCTTGATGGCGCTCACATCTATAAGTTGGTATGGATTAGGGAACAATACCAACCCATATTTCAGGAGGGCCAAGATATCCTCAAAAGAATGAAAACTCATAGTGTCTAGGAATACCTGAGCTTTATCTATCAGAAACTTTGCAAGAATACCTTTAACCCCACTTATCCTTTCCCACTTGGATTCAATGTCAGATGGCTTTAAGTGCAAGGATGTTGCAACATCTTCAAACTTTGGATCTTGTTCTAAACCTGTGAAGGGTATCTGCTCCAATATAGGCACTCTAAGTAGTTTAGAGAATTCTTCCAACTTGGGAACCAACTGATAATTGGGGAATGTAAAGCAATGGTGTTTAGGATCAAAGAGCTGGAATAAGACGCTCATCATACCCTCGTCAAAACTGGTAGTAACCAAATTGAGCAAGTGACCAATCTTTTATTGAATTGGGAACTTTCAGGAACCTTTGAGACCAATTCCCTAAGCTTTGAAGGTATTCCTATAAAGTTGATCCGGATGGTATTTCTGCGAGCGGAATCTATAACCTACAAAAAAAAGAAGAGATAAATCTCGGGTCCTTGAAATGGTTAGTACAAATGATATGTTATGATGTTCATGATGTTATGTTTTTGCTTAAAACAAAATAGATAACACAAACAAATCATACAAAGACCTTAAGTTTAAAGGCTTGCATGAGGTCTAAAGGTAAGAAACCTTTTGAAATTTAGTTGGCTCAACCTGTCCTAACAATAGTAACTGGGTTCTAAGGATCTCATATCATTGACCTTTCTCTCATGCATTGTTTCAGCTCAAGCATATGAATTACGACCGAAGTATCCCAAAAGTCCAATCTCAATGAGTGTAGCATCGAGTATCAACCAACTTCAGTTTGCACCAAAGCCGGCCATCTCATTACTTTCTAATGGCTAAGATGAGTCAACTTAAGATTATAAAGGTCAGTTAATGCTTCATGACACTATGTGGAAGCCTAATATTATCCTTGACTGACTCAAGGAACATTAGTACAAGCCAGAGTATCATGCTAACATAGCTATCATATCATCCATATTGGTCTACACCATACAACCTCCATGATTTATTGCTACTTAACTAAAAGGTTCCCCAGATTCGGGTATAGGATCTTTAACAATAACCCAAACATAAACCCGAAAGGTAAAACACGCAAATCAAAACATGTAAAGCAAATTGAATATGATCTAGCTCTAAGGTAACCCCACTTTAAGTAAATTTACCCCGGCAGAGTCGCCAGTTCTGTAATACGGTGGGATAACTGACTTTTACTGGTTTTTCATTTTTATTCGCAAATGTTGTGGTTTAGCAAGAGTCGCCACCGACTTTTCTTTTATCCAAAAAGGAAAGGGTGAAAAGAACATGAAAGACCTTTCAAGATTATTTTCTGAGTAAAAGGGTAGGTTATGGATAGGGAAGGTGTTAGCACGCTTTCCATCTGTAGTTATCTACAAGCTCTTAGTTGCTAGCTCACTTTTGAAAATTCTTTGTGTTTGTGTATTTGAAAATATTTTTGAAAAGACGCCTTAGCGCGGCGAACTTTGTAATGTTTCTCATTTGAGAACGTATGCAAAGTGTTTTCTTATCTTTGAAAATGTTTAGAAAACGTTTTGTGTGTGTATCAAAATTGTTTTGTTTGAGCAAGCAACTAGGAGCTATCTACCTACTCAAAAAATTTGTTCTTTTACTCTTTTCCTTTAGATAGTGTTGTCTTACTATTATTTAGTAGGTAGCCCTATCGTTGGATGTTTGAGGGACGGGCGAGGGTCATCGTAAAGACACAAAAGCAACTTAGTAATATACTTTAGTAACTACCCTAAGATTCTAAGATCATATAGTGAGGAAACATTAAAAGGGTCATCGAAGGACTTATGATCTTTAAACCAAAGGGTTGCCACTAAAATCTCTTACGTTCCGAGAATCGTGACTGTTTTTTCTGAAGGCAACAAGTGGAGATATCCTAGAGATGCGCGTGTGCAAGTTATGTTGTATTTTAGTTATTTATCTTTCGATGTTAAGTTTTCTAGTGTTTGCTTTTAATCTTATCATACAAGCCTATTATGCATACATCTAACAGTTAATACCAGTGCGGAATTTAAAAACTACGCTATTACATGGCTTCGGGGAGGGGGAATTACAAACAAAAAAAACAGGGATAAAAGGCAGTAAAGAAAAACCTAATTACAACTATTACAAACTGTAGCAGTTACATAATTATGAATAAAAATGCGAAATTTAAATAAGCGTGCGAAGACGGAAAGAGAGGTAAAAACCCTAAAACTCCTAAACACTTAGAATATTTTGTTGTTTTTATTTGTCTTAAGAAAGTACTTGAATTAAACTAAAAAACTAATCTTAATTTAAAAAGAAGAAGTCATAAATAATTGAAATTTAATCTAATCAAAAGAGAAAACTAATTCTAACATTTTTTGTATTTTCATTTGGAAAAAGATTTGAAATGATTAAACCTAGTTCTAATTGGTTTTAAATTAATCAAAATAATTAAATTAGTTAATTTACAAAAATTAAATTTAATAATAAAAACCCTAAATCTATTTTTTGTGATTTTTTTTATTTTATCATAAAATAAAAAAATGGTTTAAAAAGAAATAATATAAAACAAATAAATAAAAAAACTAAAATAAAGAAAATAGAAAATGCAATGGGCCTAGTGTGAAGCTGAATGGGGGGTGCATGTTTAGAATTCCGTTTAGGCCCAACAAGAGGAAGCCCAAGTCCCGTGTGCTTCAATGTTGCTGGCTCCTTGAGGGTTCATCATGAGGGAGCGCCCCAGGAGCGCTGGATCTGGATTCGTTATGATTTATTAGATGAGATCTGAAGGTACATGATAGGTGCGTTGGAATTCAATACACAGGATCTGCAAGAATCAAATAATATGAAAACAAAATGCAAGAGGCAGGGATCGAACCCCTTCCCTTGCATACAAATGCCTTATCACACGCTACTTTCACCAACTGAGCTAGAGTGCTTATCTGTTATTCCAAGAGATACAAATAAATATATGTTAAAATAAATCACTGAACCAGAGAAGCGCCGGAGCCCTAGCTCCGGTCGTCTTCTCCGGTGAATCCATTTTCCCAACCTGCAAAATAAGCCATATTAGGTCTCCAAATGTACCTTACCCCCCTAATTTCGGGGTTGCGAATCCATTGGGATCACTGTTTTGGACTAAATCGTGCTGATTTATGAGATATGGTTCAATCAACATGAATCTGCATGAACATGGCGATTCATGATTCAGGAAGAATGGGGGTTATATAATGCCTCAAACTTGTACATTTGGATCTCAACAACACGTTAGTGCTGGTGGTATGCACTGAAACAAAACAAAAATGAAGATATGAATATACATGATATGTTCGAACTAGAGATGCATATGTGCGTGTTTTACCAGCTTTTGGCCCTCAATATTGACCCATTCTTACCCTATAAACCTTCAGGAGATGATTGCAGTACTTTGTTTTGATGGAAATGACTTGGATCGGACTGTAGGCACTTGCACTATTTTGAGAAAATTCTGAAGCACTTTAGGGTTTTATGGAGGCAGAAACTCGTATTCTTCTTGTCCTCATGTTTTAGGGTTGTCATGCATATATACGAACTCATTAGGTTAACAAAAGAGGAACAAATTAAATGGCATTATGATCTTTCAAATTTGCTTCCAAACTTTCCATTCTTGAAAATTCTTTCTCCTCTTGGCTTGCACATTTTTTCTTGACATGTGACAGCCTTACATGAGTTGTTTTGGGCCTTAAGAGGCCACCCATAGACTTGGCCCATTTATCTCACATTTTATTTCATTTTATTTTATATTTATTTGAATAAAATATAAATAAAATATAAATAAATAGTGAGAAAAACCAAATAAAGCTGGAAGTGATTTTAGGGGTCTTCCATAAAGTCATGGACAGGTTTGAATCCCAAAAAATAGGTCCATTAACTCAAAGATGCATTTTTGCTTGAAGTTTACTTCTTGAAATTTCTCAAAACTTCCCAACTTGTGCAACTCATATCTTGCTCAATATTTATCCTTTAAATATTATCTTGGATTTTTTGGAAAGCCCAAGATGTCCTCTACAATCTCTATGTTTACCAATTTTTCTTTTGAAGACATTATCGTGATGTAAGTTGTCTTGACAAAAAGTGTCTTTTGTTGACTTTCTGAAAATGACCTGTAATGTATGAGATCATATCTTTCAAATGAAGCATATTTTGGACTTGAGGACAAAATAAAAGTTGTATAGAATTGAATTTTATTCACAATGAGAATTGGTTGGGACAAAATGGATGAAGCATGTGAAAGTTATGCTTGGTCAAAGTTCAATTGACTTTTCTTAGGAAACCCTAATTTAACAATTTTTGATTCTTGATGATTTGAGAGCATTCCTTGAGGAATCATGATTAACCCTTGATCAAATGATGAATATCACTTCAAAATGTTGATGTCGACCAAAAATCTTGAAGTTTGATTGCATATTGACCATAATTGACTTTTGACCTAATTCAGTTAATTTTCAGTCATCTGAGCAATTGACTGAGCAAACTTGTGATGCAAGGCATGAAACTTGGCATGAGCAATCTTGAGGACATATTAGGAGCCATGGAAATCACTTTAGGCCTTTGAAATCCAAAATTCTTTGTGAAAAGTGAAACCCTAGTTGGAAATCCATTGCTTAGGAGGAGGATTTGTCTGGTTAATTCTTGGTCAACCTTGAGCATTTGAGGACCTCTAGGAGTGTGCTTTGAATAAAATGAGAGGGTAAATTTTGGGGTACAACAATGATGTTCAAGAAGATGAAGTATGTGATGTTCATACATGTGATGTTCATACAAATGATCTAGGTTATGTTAATACAAATGATGTAGGTGATGTTAATACAAATGATGTAGGTAATGTTAATAAAAAGGATGTAGGTGATGTTCAAGAAGATAAAAATGAGGATAGTGGTAGTAGTGAGGATAATGAATTTGAAGTTGATGGTTTATAATTTGATGATAGTGAGGATGAGATATCTCTTGGGTTGCATGATTTCTTTGAAGACCATGGCAAAAGCAGTGGGGTAAAAGTTGTAGCAAGGAAGCACAAGCTAACTCAAAAGAAAGTTCCAATTGTTGTTGATAATAAAAGTTCATCTAGTGGAGTGGATAATGATATGGAAATCAATTATGCTAGTGAAGGGCTTGGTATAAGTGACCCTGATGCTTCTGATGAAGAGAAGGATCCAAAATATCCAAGGTTTAAGAAGTAATTATTGAATGGTCAGTGCTCAATGAGAGAGAGAGAGAGAGATAAAGTACATGAAAAATGACAAGTTAGAGTGAGGGTAATTTGCAAGGGCAAATGTGGGTTTTTGGAACTAGTAAGTAAAGTTGGGAATAAGCACACATATAGAATGTAGAGATGGGTTGGAACTCACACATGTGACAGGGTATTGAATAATCGTTCAGCCAATTCTAAGTGGGCATCTAAAACTGTGGCGGCTAGAAGACATCTTCTAATGGTGTTAAGATTCGAGATATTATTTATAAGATTAGGATTAACCTTTTTGTTGGTATAACTATGAGCAGGGCACGAAATGCCAAACAAATTGCAAAAGCTTTGATTGAAGGCGATGTTGTGAAAAATCACAACCTTTTATGGAAATACTCTGCAGAGTTAAGGAGAGTAAATTCTAGGAGCACTTGTGTTATACCCCAAAATTTTCCCTCTCATTTTACTCACACATTCCCATTGAGGTCCCCAACTTGCTCAATGATGCCCAAGAGTTGACCAGACAAACTCTATCCTAAAGCAATGAATCTCAAACTAAGGTTTCCAATTTTATCAAGGTGTGTGAACTCCAAAGGTCCCAAATGCTTTCCATGGCCATAATATGTTCTCAAGATCATCCATGTCAAGTTTCATTCCTCGCACAAGAAGTTTTCTCAGTCAATTGCTCAGATGCCTGAAAATCAACTGTACTAGGTCAAAAGTCAACTGTGGCCCACATACAGTCAAACTTCAAGATTTTTGGTCAACATCGACATTTTAAAGAGATATCTATCATTGGATCAAGGGTTGGTCATGATTCTCCAAGGAATGCCCCAAATTCATCAAAACCCAAAAGTTGCTAAATTAGGGTTTCTAAGGAAAAGTCAACCAAACTTTGACCAGGCATAACTTCTTCATACTTTATTATAAATTTTCCATCTAAGGCTCATTTTGAAGAGGTGTAATTATATACAACTCATCTTCAGCCCACAAGTTCAAATTATGCACTCATCAAAAGATATGAATTTCTACATTATAGGTCCTTTTGAAAAGTCAACAAAAACACCTTTTGGGTCAAAGCTTCTTACATGAACATGGAAGACCCAGTTGAGATGAAACCAAAAGGGTTGTTTAGGGCACATCCTAAGATTTCTAAAAAGTGAAGAAAACCCTCTTAGGATTAAAATTGAGGGAGATATGTATTTTCAAAATTGACCAATTTTTGGAAGTGTGCATGAAGTCAACATTGATCAAAATGACTTTTTTTCCAAATGGACCCATGTTTTCTTGTTTGAAACTTTTTCCTAAGATGGCCCATGACCCCTGAGCTTATCCACTTATTATTTTATTTTTATTTTTTATTTTTATTTTTTATACATTTAAATCAAAATAAATCAATTTAAATAGTAGAATAATCAAATAAAATCAAAGATTTGATTTTATGATCATTTTATGAGTCAAGGAACAACTAGCAAATCATCCAAATCGTGCAAGAGATAATTGATTGGAAAAGATCTTAATTTGGTCTATTTTGGAAACAAATCATACAAGGCAAAGAATGAAATTAAATCTCCATAATTTGCAAAGATATGATGAGTTTTTGTTGACCTAAATCATTCTATGATATATACACAACATATCCAAAGCATAAAAAAAGGGTTCTTGGTCGTGAAACCAAAGGAGTGAACTTCAAATTTTTGTCAAAAAAAATGTTGATTACATATTCCTCCATAGACTGATTCAAGCAATTCCAAGGCCAACAATCTGTTCCTGGACATTTTCTAAAGCCATTCCAATCATCCTAAAGCCTTAAAACCTTCAGAAATGATTCCTCATAGTTCCACGATTTGCATCTTTTTTCAAGATTCATTTTCAATAATTTATCCATCATAAACATGTTTTGATCATATATCCATGCTTGCTATCATATTTGCAATGTTTTTGATTGGTTTGATTGAAGTTTGAGTGCAGGAATGGCACGATGCCATTGTTAGGGTTTTGAGGTCCCAAATTGGGAATTCCATATAGAGGCAAAATTGGACAAAATCAGGGGTACTCTCATGCTTAGAAGATGATTTGCAATTGACCCATGTCTTTGGTTTGAATTTATTCTGCTTGTTCTGCGTTTTTGAATTTTACAGGTTTATGGCTACGAACAAAATCCGCCACTATAACTTTTAGTGACGGAAACGACTGTAGGTAAAAGTGTGGCCAAAAACAACAGTTATGGGGAAGAAGACAATTAGGTGGCAGAATCCCATTGGGTGATTTGAATCACGCGCGCATTTGGGAAAGACCACTTTATTTCCTTTATATTTTATTTATGTTATTATATTTACAACTAACCATCCAGCCATTGGATTCATCATCAATCCAGATCCAACGCTCAAGTCATACCATGGACCGTCAGAAAGAGCATCATACTGGATCTAGCGCATTGACTGGGCTGAGCAAGGAATGGGCCTAACAAATTCAGTACTACACCCCCTGAATTGCTCAACAATACATGCCCAATTTCTTTTTTTTTTTTAAATTTTATTTCGTTTATTTTAATTATTTAATTAATTATTTCCTTTTACAAAAATAACACAAAAATCATTACTTTTTTATTTAATCATAAAATCAAGAAAACCACAAAAATGTAGAATTAGGTTTTTTATTAAAATTAGTTATTTTTTTGGAAAATAATTAATTTAATGATATTGACTTGATTGTTTTCATAATTAAAATTAATTAGACAAATTAGGTTTAATTTACAAATATTTAATTTTCTCAATAAAATACCAAAAACTATTTTTCTTTAATTAATTAGATTTAGGTTAAGATTTCAAGTATTTTTCTCAACAATAAAATACAAAAAAATATTTTCTCTTTAATTGATTAGATTTTAGAATTTAAACTTTTATTCCCGTATTTATTCTCGCGCATAATATTTTATTTTCCAATTATTGTATTTGCTTCGGGTTTGTAATAGTTTTTAATTAGAGTTTACCGCATATTATTTACTGTTTAATCCCCGGTTTTTGGTCATGTAACCCCCTCCCCGAAGCCTTGTAATAGCGTAGATTTACTTTTTCTCTTAAAATAATAGATCACCTTAATTGTGCAAAGATTGAATAACTGAAATCAAACACTACCACTTGCACCCTTAGGGTATGCCTCACTTGTTTGCCTCAGAAAACAATGGGCATGTCCCTCGAACGTAGGGATATATTAGCAAAAGACCCTCAATCTAAAAGTCATCATAAAGATCATAGTCCCTTAACGTCCCTCGAGTTGCCTACGAGAAATGATCTTGTCTCTTGATGTTGCCTATATGACGATAATCCCTTCGAAACGCTAATATATCCTTACTTGTTTCCTTTAGTGACCATTTCGTCCCTTTGAACGTCCCTTTAAACATCCAACGACGATGCTATCTATTCCTTAATAATAGGATAACACTGTCTAAAGGAAAATGAACAGACCTTTTTCGAGTAGGTATATTAGTTCCTAGGTACTTGCTCAAACAAACCAACTTTTTCACACCAACACTTTTCAAACAGTTTTCAAAAACAACTTCGTAACACTCTTGAGGATAGAAACAAGGGTTAAAACAAAGTAAAACAAAACTTTTCAAAACAAGCACACATAAGAAATTTCAAAATGAGCAAGTACCTAACAGCCCGTGGAAAACCATAGATAGAAAGGGTGCTAACATCTTCCCTATCTATAATCTACCCCCGTACTCAGAAACATCTCGAAAAAGATTTTTTCTGTTCTTTTTCCTTTTCCTTTGTTGGATAAAATAAAAGTCGGTGGCGACTCTTGCTTACCGCGACATTTGCCAAAAAAAAATGTAAACCAGTATAACAGTCGGTTCTGCCAACGTATCACAGAACTGGCGACTCTGTTGGGGACTATTAAAAGTGGGGTTTACTTTAGGATTTAGGTCATTTTTAAATTGCTTTCCTATTTAATTTGCTTGCTTTATTTTTAAAGGGTCTTGTTTGGGTATTGTTGAAGATCCTACACCCGGATCTGGGGACACTTTTTAGGTAAACAGCAATAGGTCGTGGAGACTGTACGTCATAGACCGATATGGTTTAAGCGATGGCTGTGTTGGTGTGACACTTTGGTTGGTACCGGTATCCTTCGTGGGGAAACAAGGAGGATACGGGGCCGCCGCATGGTGTCGTGAAGCACTAACGGATCTTAGAACCTTAGTTGAAACAAACTTGCCCATTAGAAAGTAGTGAGATAGCCGACCTCGGTATAAAGCTGAGGATTGGTTGATACTCAATGCTACACTCATTGAGATCATACTTTCGGGATATTTCGGCCGCAAGAAAAGATTGCTTGAGCTGAAACAATGCCCGATAAAGGATGATCAGTGATATTGAGAATCTTTAGAACCCGGTTACTTTTCTAAGACAGGTTTGAAACCAACTAAACTTCAAGAGGGTACGACCTTAAAACCCATGCAAGCCTAAACCTAAGGTTGTTTGTGTGACTTGTGTGCTTTCAACTTGAACTACTTGCAGGGTTTTATTATCTGATAACATGAGTTCCTTGCAGGTTTTGTTTACAGTCATTGTCCAATAACTTGGATTTCTTGCAGGGTTTACTTGCTTACATCACTTTGAACCTTTGCTTAAAAGCATAGCATACACATCATAACATCATGCCTTAACATTTCCTTAACCATTTCAAGGATCTCGAGGGCCTGTGATGAAGGTTATGATAAATCAGATGTCTAGCGAGGGGCAATGGGATTTATTTTCCTCTAGCCAATGTCGTCAGAAGATCAAAACTCAACAACTTGAGTCAGGGGTTATGACCACTTGATATGGTGAGCTTGACTCTCGTAGAAGGACTCTCAATGATACAAAGTTCTTCAATCAAAACTGCAAAATTCAACTTCTGACATTTTCTTGTTTACCCCGCGAGATCCTTGAAAACATTGCATACATATATAATACATACCATTACATAAGCAGGTTTCAAAGCAGGTCTCTC